TAATAATTATTAAAGAGCAATCATTTCAATTGGAAAATGTAAACTGTAATTTTACAATAGTGTGCGACGTGAACGAATTTATTCAAAGGACCCATCTGCCATTTTTATAACCCAGAAGTTCCCATGTAATCATCAGAAAGTAATACACTCACGAAAACGCACTAAAAAAACCAGGTAGACTTTTATTTTCATCAGTCTTTCAAGACTTTAAAACGTTATGACTCGTAATTTACAACGCTGTGACTGAAGGCTCAACAGCCGAGCACCCGGCAGTTAGTAAGTTTTTACAGAATATCCAATGAAAGGTTCTTCCATGCATCTTAGGGATACAAGATGTTTGCTTAGAAATGTCAAGCGATTCCAACAGTTTTTTTTTGTTTTTTTTTTTAGTGGACAAACTGTCCGAGTTTGTACATACTATAGGTGGTTTGCACGTTACGTCATGGCCGCCATGTTGGTGGACGTAAACAATGGGTATCTCGTTAGCTCCTATTGTTCGTCCACCAGCATTTGTTCCTTTCACCATTGTTACCCGTGTCTCTAGAGATTGGTTGCAAACCACCTCATGTAATACCACTCGTTGTCGACAGTCTACGGTGTCGAATAGATTAAGGCCCCGTCGACACGTATCCAGATATTTTTGAATCCGCAACTTTTTCTTTCCGGATACGAAAATATATCTGCGTCCACACGTTATGTGATCACAGCGTATTCAAATCGAATTCGCCCGTCCACACGTATCCGAATTCACTCTAGTATCCAGGGTGACTCTTTATTATCCAACTACACCTAGACGAGTACAAATAACGCCATAGACGAGTACAAATATCACGCGGTATTTGTACTCGTCTATTTTAGAGTACTGTTTAAACAGGTTTTCTCGCATCGCGCAAGCATTTAGCAGCCGCGGGAATTCGATGTTTCAGTTTACGTGCACTAGTTCAAACAGTTAAAATCATATCGAAATCAGGCAAGAAAGCTGAGAAGAATAAGGAGAACGAGCCAGAATCATTCATATGGAGCGACGACGAGGTAGAGTTGTTATTGAACGTGACAATATAGTACACAGCCGCAAAATCTACGGAGAACATTGACTGTCGTGCCAGAGTAAATATTGCAATCCACGTACACCTACACCTTATGAATAAATGAATGAATCCTAACCCTACTACAGGTAAACAGTACTTTAAAGTGCGTTTCAAATAGGTGTAAGTTCTATTACATGTAACTTTAATGAATAATTTTGTTTACACGCATTTAATGTCAGCTTAAACTTTCATTAAAGTTTAGCCTTAAGATAGTATACGCTCGGTTTAAGGAAGACTTAAATCGGTGTATAAGTTGCTTAAATCTCAACTTAGACTTAGTAAACTTAAATTTAAGATGGGATTAATCCACGTTTAAGACAACTTAAAAAAGCTTTTTCGCCTTGGGAATATTACCTTTGCCTTATTGAACTACTTTACGAAGGACGTAATCAATACGTTGGCGAGTAAGGTTGAGATTTAATTGTCACACTGAATTCCCTTTTTTTCAAGAAACATTTAGCTATTTTCAGATTTGTTCTTTGCTTAATACAGAGTGACCACTTATTAGTTCCTAAATTGTGTTAATTTTTATACTAAGGCTTCATTTTGTTACTTAATTTTTTCTTTTCAGTTTTGGTTATAACATTTTTAACATCTTACCTGACTTCCCTGCAAACACTTTTTTTTTACCCTATCAGGTTTGCAAACAGTTTATTTTGTCTTTTCAAACTATGCAAACAATTTTTTTCAATATTTCTCATACCCCCCTCCTCTGTCCCAGAGGTTCCCTTTATAGGCTAATGGTTCACGTGCGCGCATGCTTTATCGAGTATCTGCTTGCATATGCCAACATGCACTCACCAGTTACTAATATACCTCATATATAATATTAGCATAACTGCCATTTTTACGTTCTTACATTTCTTAAAAAAAAACTTTGCTTAAAAAAATTAACTAGTACTCAGACTTACAATAGTAGCAATACTTACGGCACTAGTTTTATTTATATTATTAACTCTACATAATATGCTAAGAGTAGCATTAATTACCGTAAATCCTCTATTAAGCCCCCCTCTCTAATAAGTTAACCCCCCTCTGATAAGCACCCCCTCTTTAGAGAAAGAACTTTATTTAGCCCCCTCTATCAAGCCCCCACCCCTCCCATTAAAAAACAGAAATTCACAATAACAGTCCATGTGAGTATGTACGATAAATTTATTCAAGTACTATAATTCTAGTTTGTAATTTAAACTTGATTATGGTGACTGACTGATTGATGATATCACGTCGGCATAAACAGAATACCGTATTTGGATTAATAATTTGGTATATGAAAAAATGTAAAACGCGAACAATTTTTGAATAAATACGTTCGAACTATACAAACGCATGGTTCTCTGTGCTATAATCAACGGTGTCTAAGTCAAGCATCATACCTCTCCGTATTGAATTTCATTCATCAAAGCTAACCGTCCAATCCCATCCTTCCCTTTCCAAATGAAATTAAAACATTCTTTGTTGGCTACCTGTACGAGATTATTGGAAATATGATTAAGGGAGGCTTTGGCCGAGAAAATCAGAGGAATGGCAAATGACTTGACATTTTGTATTCTCTCTAAATATTTAATTTTTTTGATAGAATCAAAGCAAACCAATTAAAAGTGTTTTCATCTACCTTCGAAGTTAAAAAAGTTTCTATAAGCTTTTATTTTGTGCCAAAACCAATGCAAGTTCTTTCGCTGTTTTTAATTTCAAACATCATAAATGTCTACTTGTATTTTTTTCTTCGATCCTCTTCTTTGGTAAAGTGCGCAAATGGCACAATTTCCTGGTGACGGGTTACATTCATGCAGTAAGTCTGAGATTCTCTCGTGTATAATTGTGGATCCTTTTTGAATTTCCTAAGTAGGCTATGATTTGCGAATCGCTCAGGGACATCTCTTTTTATATCTTTAATGAATGCTCTCCAGGCTGCCTGCTCTCCAGCAAGAGACCTCGGATATGGACGATGTAGAGGATTCTGGACTGTCACAGGAAAAAACAACAGCGCTTGCCCACGAAACTTTAACTCCACTACTGAACAAAGATATTTATCAGTGAACCACCAGTTAACTTGTTCATACCGTGTATCCAGTGGAAATATGTGCACGACTGCTTTTGCATGAAAGGCATTGAAAACAGGATCGAAAAATATGATCGGACTTGCAACGGAGGTGTTGGTTACAAAGGATTTGTTACAAATCTTCCGATTCAATTGAATTAAGGAATTTGCTGGATTGTTGCTGTAGTCCACTACACCAACTGCAGGTTCATAATCCAGAAGCCAGTTTTGGAAAACTTGAATTGGACTGAGTTGTGTCATTGCTGGAGTTGCTTTTCTGTTGAACGTTAGAGAAATGTCATCGTCAAGAAATATATAATACATGTAATGGGTGATTTTCTCTAAAGCGTGGAAGAATAGCCTGTTACGGCCAGATCCCCAAGTGGTTGCGTTGTCAAACAAGTAGGTAAAGTGAGCCG